TCCTTTTTGAAGCAAGAACACAATTGATCCTATAAGCCTTGAATGTGTAGTGAAGTGTTGTAGTGGCTTAGGATTCTTTTAACTCTCTGAATATTGCCTATACAATCTCTAAGAATGATTGAAACCAAGGCAATATCAGAAACTCTCTTTTTCTAAACACTTAGCCTGAAAATCTGGAAAATTAGAGAGTGAATATGCACAAAATGTTTGATCTTGCAAGTGCAAAACTTGGTGCTTGTTTTCTGATGTTTAAACCTATTTATAGCCTCTGAAATGACATAATTTTAAACTCAATTAACGTCCACAAAACGGCTATAAACAGTCACTTATTTTAAACCTGAAATCTGCATATAAAAGTTAGTGCACACACTGTATAAATTGTTATCATCAAAACACTATCATGGAGATATGATATTCAACACAATTCAAACAAGCGCTAAAGGTACATGTAAGGATTTAGAACGAATATGGGCATTTTTTGTTCCAGTTTGTATCAACGTGCAAATAAAATAAGAATATAGGTTATGAGTTTCACTTATCGAACCATTTTCATATTTTCATCCATATTCGTAATTAGTAAGCATATGCACATATCTAATTTGTATCTAATCCGTTTTGCACCTATGAATGGAAGTGAACTAAATAATTAACAAATGGCTTTGTTATTATTCTACTAGATATTGGATTATACTTGATTTTTAATAGTAAATAACTAATATTTAATGTTCGATCATACACAAAATGTAATTTAACGAAAGATATATTTAATTCGGTTCACTATTGGCTATTCAATTATGTTTTGCGTCTTAGTCATATGAATTTATCTTATTGAGAATATTACTCGTCCAAACTTTTATTACATATCATATCCTATATAAGTACATTAATTAAATATCAATTAAATAGAATTATCTTTCTCTCATTTTGAACTGAACCTCACAAATGCCTAAGCTGATAGCTTCATGAAAGTACCCGAGAGGGGGGGTGGGGGGTGGGGGTGGGGTGAATAGGGCAATTGCTAATCTAATCCGATATCGATGCCAAATTAAAAACTTATTAACTAATATATCCTAGCAATGTGATATGCAATGAGATATGCAATGATATACTAGGAATAAACAATAAGACAATAGGCGATATAAATTAGTCACAAGAGAAAATACGCCAAAGTCAAACACAAACACAAGGATATGTTCGTGGAGTTCAGTCAACCCTCGACCTACGTCTCTGCTCCTCACCTCATGGAGATACTCCACTATCACAAATAATCTACATAATCGGTTTTCAAAGTTCACTGAAAACTTTTACAATCTACACATTAACAATCACACAATACACTTCTCTAAGTATTAGTCGACCCGTGTCACCATCATCAAGTGCTTTGAATTACTACATCTCCCTAGGCTTTTACAACCAAGTCACTCCTCTTGGAATTGACTCCGGTCTTCTCCCAACCACTCCTCTAAGTATCCTTGTGTATTACAACGTGATCTCTCAATAAGTGTAAATACAAGATTGGTTCTCTAATACAAATTGAGAATGAAATTTAAGCTCTCTCTCAATATAACAACCCCACAACCCAAATATACAATATGTGTAATACTAAAGCTCAATTTGGTTGTGTGTGTAAATAATGAGTATAACGAAAATTAAACTCAAATTTAATATAGCAAAAATATATGAGAATCAAAAACAAAATGAGCTAGAGATTGAGTTTAGAAGACTTCTCCGAAAAACAAAGAGAGATAATGAATTTGAGGTTGAACTCCTCAAAAATAAAATTTAGATTCTTCTCTTTGTGAAATTGTCTTCACATAAACAAACACACCAAAACTTAGAATTAAATTGGTGTAAACTTCTCTTGAAAACCACTTAAAAAACTTAGCTCAAAGAATAAGCATTGAGGGGTATTTATAACCTCTTAAATGAAGCAAACATAAAACTAGTCATTACAGTCGGGTCGGTTGACTGATGAGTGAATAAGTCGACTGATAACACTGTTTGGTCGACTGGTAAAGATCGCTCGACTGAGCAAAAACAAAATAGGAAACACAGAGTAGTTTATCGGTCGACTGGTTTGAATAGTCAGTCGATCGAAAAACGTGCACAGCAACTATCGGTCGATTGATGAGTGAATCGGTTGACTGATAAGATGATCGTTAGTTACAGTCATGAAACATCGGTCGACTGATTCAAATAATCAGTCGACTGATAACACTATTTGGTCGACTGATAAATTTTGGTCGACTAAGCAGAAACAAAATTGGAAATGTAGAGCAGTTTATCAGTCGATTGGTTTGAACAGTTCGTCGACCGAAAAACGTGCACAACACTATCAAAACAGTAAAACTGATTTTCTAAGAGTGTTTAAAAATAGTAAATAAATTCTAAAAATTATAAAACTTGGGAAAATATTTATTCACATGAAAATAAACATGTTAAAGAAGGAATTTCTTAAATATCATTTCCCAAGTATGAAAACTTATCATTTTGCAAACCGATCAAAAATACGAACTTGTTAAAAAACTTGATTTTGATGAATTCATTCTAAACAATTTTCGAAATAATTTCAAATAGATTTATAGACTTAAGAAAAGATGTAAAATAGTATAATCAAGTCTTTAATCCGTAAACACGTTATTTTTCCAAAAATGTATAATACGATAAAACGAAACGTGTATGTGTGTAGTTTGAGGTTTAAAGTGTAAACACATAAAGTAAAGCATAAACTACAAAACTATATACCCAAGCAAATGATCTTCAATTAGCTCGTCCTGGTTTGCGGATGAAGCGATGATGAATTTTAACTTGAATTACGACGGCTTCATTCTGATATCCTTCCAACCTCCTTTAGATATCGTCGTTAAGCTCGATTCCATCCAACCTCCGACCGAGAATCTTTGTGTAGGATACTTAACAAGCAAATGCAAACACTTGGCAACCATGTTAGGAATTGTTTGTTAATCATTAAAACCGGGTTAGATAGTAGGCTCATAAACATGAGACCTAACACTTCAGTGCTCCAACAAGTAGTTTTGGGAATTCCAATGGCATAAGTCGTAAATAATTTCTGTCCCATTCTCCACTTTTCTCATGAGGAGCAATTTGCTTTTGAAGTATTGTTATTTATCTAGTTTTTTGGGGGCAGCTGTCGAAGTTATCATTTTCCCGTCAATTTCTTGAAATTGCTAACTTATGTAGGGATTCTATCAAAACCCCACATCGTGTGGGGTTCTTTGTGACAAATAGGAGGCTGGGTGTTATGGTGCTTCTAATCGCCAAATTGCAGTCCCTTGTTAGCAACGGACAGGTGTCCCCCTACATGCACTGCTCAAATCAAATTGACGGTCAAGACTATCAAGGATCTCAACTAAACCGACTCGCCAAGTCAACATCTCCTTAGGTCGACTCGAAGGGCGATACTAGTCGGCCCTCTTGTCGAAGACGACTAGCTGCGAGCCCACTTGACCAATTACTCGACACCTTGCGGGGTCGACTCGAGAGGCATTATTTCTCAGCCAAGCTAAAAGGACAACTTCAACCTCAAAGCTCTCTCGCTGACAACGCGCCAGCATCACATTTAATGTTTGGCAGGCGCCATCATTCCTCTATCCCAGATAGCCTTCATGACTCATCGGACCATGTCGGCACCGCCATGTCGCCCATCACTTCACATTTAATATCAAAGTGACCTCTCCTCTACTCGTCGACTGACACCTGTAAAGTAGGTGCTGGCGTAGCCGCCATCCCATACTCGTTTGCCGCCATCCTGTACTCGGCGAGATGACCATTCTACCCTTTCTTCACCACTACAAATACATGTAGTATTCCAAATACCAAAGTAAGTGCTCTTAAGCAATCTCTGAGAATTCTACTGCACTTTAGAACTCACGTAGTTCTCATTTTCTCACTCAAGTTTATCAACCGACTTGATCGTCGGAGGAACAACGGGGGAACTAGTCCCCGTCCTCTCACGAACTGCTATTTGTGCAAACTGAAGTTGCTCAACTCAAAACCAGATATTCGGAGAAGTGAGAGGCCCTAAATCAACCTCACCCTCATTATATTATCTGTTTGATTATTAACATCAACACTGGGGAGATGAGAAAACTATCCTCTCGAAAGAAAAATATTTAGTTCAGTACAACCCTAGCCTAGAGTTGGGTAGATGATCGAATCAAATCGAATACTAAAATGTTAAAGTGTGTTCATTCCACTAAAGAATTTTATTTTCAAATAGTATTTAAACTCATAGATAAAAAATATTCCTTTATAATATATAATGTATATATACTTTATTCAAAATTTTTTGCTAGAAAACTAAATCTCAAAATTGTTTTTTTGTGTTATATAAACTATCAAATTGAATATAACCGAACAATTATTCGAACAATTAACAAACTATTTGTTAATAATTTGATTCATTTTCACCCCTACCCAGGCTACCCTCAACTATTCCTACTCTTTTTAACCCGACTAGACTAATAAAAGTGCAATCTAATTCCTCTGCAATTTTGATCCTCCTTTGTCCATTTGACCTACACTTTCTGTGCAATTTATTGTTGCCTGTTTGCGATTATAATAGGACCAGGGTTGTCAAATGAGTGGTTTTGGTTGAGTCTTAGTTGAGTCATAAATAGATGGTCACATTTATGACCACTTGACCATTTATGACCCATTTAACATTTGCTAAATGTGTCACTTCTCATTCATCCATTTATTAAATGGGTGGTTCATGGGTGACCCAATAACTCATTTAGTTATGATGCTTGGTGGTGTTGGCTTTAAAGAGGATCACCGGAGAGTAGGGATGGTAATTCTGATCCAAACCCAATAACCCACCAAGATCCATCCAATATGAGACCCACCCAAACCAATCCATTTAGCTAAATGGGCCTAATGAGGTGGGTAACTATTTCTATAGAAATTAAATGGGTATTAGATAGGCGGGTCGGGTCTTGACCCACCCTTAACCCACCCAGCTAACTGATAGAAATCTCCTCTCCCCTCTCTCTGTGATTCCTCTCTAAAACCCTAAAAATCTCGGCTCCCCTCTCTCTGCGATTCGTTTCTTCGAGCTTCGATTCCTCTCTCCGAGCGCCAATTCGTCTCTCTCCGGTGATCCTCTTTAAAGCCAACACCACCCATAACCCTTTTTTACCCACTTGATCATATTTAATTAGGACCATAATATTGGTTGTCTATTTGTTCTGGAACTTTGTTAATTATGAAACTAAATAAGATCTTAATTATGATTGTAATCCAGTGGTTTGTTTGAGCTAAAACTGACTTTTATTTCTGTATATGCTCTTGTCCAACTTATAAACAAATGATTTGTCGTTTTTCTCCTTTCCATAATAGTTTTGGACGGCAAGAATCATGTAACAATGTCAACGGCATTTTTCTGGTAATCACAATAATGTGCTGATATTATATATTAATATTGAGAGGCCTGTTTAGTTGTGTTTAGTTGTGTTTAAAGCAACAGTCTAATTAGATGCTACTTGTTTGATACACGAGACATTATTGGTTGAATCATGAAAACCCTTGTCTTGATCTAAATGGGTTAAGAGAGAGATTGGAGCAGCAAAATGATATATTTTTTGTTTCAATTTTATATTAGATGAATTTTCTAGCATTGGTTAGATTCATTAGGGATAGTTTCAATTTACATTTGACATGAATTGGGTGATTAACATGTATTCATCAGATTTACGCACAAGTATCCATATGTATACATTTTATTTATTTATTGGATCAGCTCTTGGCTATCTGCATATGTTATTTTCAATGGAGGATATATCCATTTATGCATTTTTTTAGATTTTTCCCGGTGCACATCATGTCCTTAGTTTAGTTCAGATGAATAAAGTCATCAAATTTTGCAAAATATTGTAATTCTAATAGTTCTATGTGCTAATGGGATTGGTGGACTTCCGCTGATTAACAATCTAATGATTGTTTTTCTGTCTTTTTAAGAGGGTTGATCATCTATAGGAAAGGGAAGATATAGTACATAATTTTCGTCGACGCCATTAGATTCGAGTATTATGTGGTGACTTGGGCTAAAACCCTGCTTTCTTCTCCTCCTCCTCTCATGGCGACTTCAAGGTCGCAGTCCGTGAAGTGCCTGGATACTTCCTCAGGCCCAAAGCGATTCACTGTAAGCTCTCTCCCTAAACCCTACTTCTCCTGCAATGTTATTTCTTTCAATTTATCATCTTTTTGTTTTCCCCCCCAGTTCAAGAGCATCTCCCAGAGAATCAAAGAAATCGACATCAATGTCTACAAGAGCCTCGACCCCTTGAGGTCCGAGCCCAAAAGCTCCTCCTTTTTCCTCGACAGTCTTTTGTATTGGCGAGTAAGTTTCATTCCCTTAAACCCTAGGGTCAGCGGCATAGCCATAAATTGAAGCTTGGAGGGGTTGTTTCTCCAATTCTCCTCTTCAAAGAGTTGTGTGTTTTTCCAAGAGAATTGTGCCATATGTTAAAAACTATTATATTTGAGTTAAAATGCTGACTGAAAATCAAGAATGAAACAGAAACAAGGAAATTTTAATTGATACTTTTCTTTAGGCTAATTAGCACTTAACCACCTTATAGTTTTTATTTGTTTGTATATATATACCCCACTAGTTTTTGGCAGCGCTAATATGCCCTTAGAATTGGCACTTCCATACCTGCCGTTATGCAAAGGTGAGAAATTTCTTCTTAATAGCTCCATGTGACTCTCACATGCTAATTTTAGAACTTTTAAACCTTAATGTTTATTGAATTTACTATTTAACCTACTCGAGTAATAGTTCCATGGGTTTACATTGGAATTGAGGTAGTTTTAATAGTAAATTTAACAAACGTTAAAGATTGAAATGTTCCAAAATTAGCACATGGGTGTCACATAAGAATATCTAGGAGAATATTCTTATGTTTGCATAATGGCAGGTACTAAAGTGTCAATTTTGAGAACTTCAAGATACATAAGTGCTATAAAAAGCAAGCGAGGTATATAAGGGCAAACATGAGAAACTAAAGGTACTTGAATCCTAATTAGCCTTCCTTTATTATCACTTGCTAAGATAGCTAGCTACATATAAAAATTGAGCAACATAGCACATCCCAAACTAAGAGATCAGCATGTGCAGCTTTCTTAAATTCAGAACCAACTCTATATGNAAAAGATTGTTTTTTTTTTGGGGTCCCCCCCCCCTCACTCTCTCTGCTGGTGCCTACCCTTGGGTTCTAGTTGCTTTTTTTTATTTGGAGTATGAAATTTTTTTTTGGCCTTAGGAACTGAACACCGCGGAGGACTTCATCTCGTTTTATGAGGAGATGATGCCTTTAGTCCAGACGATGCCGCAAATTTTGTTCCACAAGGATAAAATTTTCTCCGAGCTTATCCGGAGAGTGAACATGAAAGCACAGTTGTCCCTCGAACCGATACTGATGTATGTATGCTTGTCAAACTCTGCTTTCTAGGTGCAGTGCTTATTACATAGTTTTATTACCTGGTAGCATTATATGCCATAACAACGTGTAAAATTTTTGTATGTAGTTTGAATATGCTATGAGCTAGTGGAACAAAATGCATGCTTGCATAATTTGTTGAGAATCAGATAAAATTATCCTTGTAAATGATTAACATAGATGTTGAGCCAAGTCTTTCTTGGACTACCTTTAATTATCCATGATTTTTTTGCGTAGAGGCGGTGTTCACTTATATGTTACTTGTTTGAACCTATTTCACAATAATAACAGAGTTTGGTGTGTATATTAGCTTTTCTCAACAATAGTCTTCAGTGGCTCTGAACTTAGGTCTTGAAACTGTTATGTGGGCGGTATCTTCTCATGATTATTAGTTGTGGTGAGGATCTACGAATTGGTAATCTAGGTAGCCTTTGGTTGACGGTATCTTCTCATGATTATTAGTTGTGGTGAGGATCTACGAATTGGTAATCTAGGTAGCCTTTGGTTGAATGCTCATCACATTACTTACAAAGTTATCAGAGGATCTACGAATTGGTAATCTAGGTAGCCTTTGGTTGAATGCTCATCACATTACTTACAAAGTTATCAACTTTTAAGGTTATTATTTACCTAACTATCTCCAATCTTTTGAGCTTACATTCCTTCATAGAGCATAATTGTTTAATCTTTTTATTTCTTATCAAATGTCTCGGAGTTTCCTTAAGATTTACCAAGTTGGACATTTTATCTTTAACTATTTTGTGCTGGAGTTGTGGCTTACTGCAGAAACGTTTAACATGCATTCCCTCCCTTACAAGTGTAAATATTATTAAAGGTGAAGGAAGCTTGGCATACCCAGACTTAGTCTGAAAATTGTCATGTGAAATTAAGTTAACCTCATCATAGGGTTCAAGCTTGTTAAATTTTTTCCCCTCCAGAATTTGGTATAATTATGATTGCACATGAGCTTAGTCCTGAGCTTATGCATCTAGTCTTCAACATGGATTCAACCATGAGTTGCTGAATATATGCAAGGTCATCCTAAGTAATAATGTTAATCACAAGAATCCATTGACAGCCTTTACAAAGGAAATTTACCTATTGCAAGTTAATTGTATATTTGGCGTAATCTAAGATCTAGGTCTAGAAGTTTGTTGGCGTGATTGCTTGACTATTGAAGAACTATTGCATCACGAACGAGCAAAAATCAAACTTTTATTGATGGGCATTGCTGCCATAGCAAAGGGCATATATAATGTAGGTTCACTGCGCTTTTTGGGTGTAAATGGCAGATGAGGGCGGTGAGATATGGATTTGTGATTCAGGTCAATTTTAAGACTAGAAGTACATAAATGCAAACACTTGAATACTAATACATATGCAACAACAACAATTAAATCTTATGTTAGAAGTTGGTGTTTGATTCATAATGTGGAAACATATTTTGTTTATACTTATTACCATCTTTATGAAATGAAGGTGAATGTTAAATGTTTCTCTAGAATATTAATTTATATTATCCCAGCGGGTAACTCCTTATATTTGCATTCCTAGTTTGTGCTAGTCCCCTTTTCTTGTCAATTTCATCCAAGCTGCTCAGTAGAAACTGAACAAATAATAGATATTCTGAACTTTTTTTGAATTATCTGTCTGATTGAATTGTGTAATACTTACTCCTTTTGGCTTTCCATTTGATTAAATGTGTAATATTTGTTCGTTTTGGAAATTTTTACTTGTTTATAGTTAATACATATGTTCTTTTATTGAATTTTACATGTGCTGTTTGTTTGTTTATGCAGGTTAATAGCTAGTCTATCAAGAGATATCCTACAAGAGTTCTTACCGTAAGCTTTCTCACCTTGTGCTATTCTTCTAAGTCTCTGTGTGGCCTTTGATTCTACTATCGGAAACCTGTCTTTTTTCTTCTATGACTGGCATGTGGCATGCACAAATTCTTCATCCTAAAGGAAAAAAGGGTTATTTTCATGCACATTTTTTTTGATAACTTGTCCTGGTAAAGTGTAAGATGAGATTTATTGATGTATGATACATACGCATAACAAATGTGTAGTTGGAGACAAGCGTTAGAAAAATGTTTACAATTAGCTGGACAAGACATAATATGAGCTATGCAGTTACATCAAAATTAAAAGAAGAAATTGGGTTTAATTGTACGCAACGAGCTATATGGGATAGATTGTTTTCTATAGTTTGGATCAAGGATCCATCATGAAGGTGAAATGAATTAAAGTGGAAGTTGTTCATGAAATCAAAGTATAGTTTGGATCAAGGATCCATCATGAAGGTGAAATGAATTAAAGTGGAAGTTGTTCATGAAATCAAAGTAGGATGCTCACTCATAGAAATGCTTTTGGGTGAAATGAATTAAAGTGGAAGTTGTTCATGAAATCAAAGTAGGATGCTCACTCATAGAAATGCTTTTGTAACTTTTAGTACTATGTGTATGAGGAGCACTTATGAACTTGAAGGTAAAATCTTATTATATGACTATTCAACTAGCCCTATAGACTATAGTTTAGAGTGTTGAACTATTAAGAAACATGTTCAGAAAATGAGTGTAATTATGAGAATACTGAGATGGATGAATGATAATAAATGCAAATAGATATTATAATAGATGACTGGATCTGTTAAGACTTGGAATTAGCTGCAGAGGTAAATTGAGGAAGAACTAGCTGCTATAGTTCATATATGCAGAATGGAGACATGGATGTGTCAATTAGGAGTGAAGGGATATGCAGAATGGAGACATGGATGTGTCAATTAGGAGTGAAGGGGTCCTCGTCTGAAGCAATATGGATAAGGGTCTAGTGACCATTGACTGGGACAGTTAAAAGGGTTAAGGTAGCTGTTAATCGAGTCAAATGGGATATGACTGGAGAAATGGATTATAGTGGTCGGTCCACAAATTTGGGATAGGTGCTTTTTTGATATTGTAAATTGATGTCTGTCAGCATGAAACTCCACTGTCCTTGATGTCTTGATGATCTAGTCCTCAAGATTCTCAATTGATTTATTCTTTTTATGTCAGGTTTCTGCAAAGGCTTACAGATTGTGTGGTCAACCTCCTCACAAATGGTGGTCGTTATAATCCAAACATCCTTGAGCAGGTTCAACTTGTGTTAGATGTTTTTTATTGATAAATTTAATATTATAACTCAGCGAGATAATTTGATTGCAGGTCTTTACATCTTGGCAATATATAATGATGTATCTCCAAAAATACCTTGTCAAGGATGTCGTTGATGTCCTGAAGTGAGTACCTGTTTATAGTAAAAATATAGTACGTTAAATCTACTTATGTGGTTAGCACTGTTATAAATAGCGGTAAATAACCCCGTAATAGCGGTAAATAACCCCGCAATAGCGGCGCTAATAACGTTAGCGGTCCCTTCCCTTTACGCTATCGCCCAATAGCGGTGATATATTGCGGAATATGCATTTTTCGTTCGCAAAAGCGGCAAATAGTGTGCCATAACAGTAAATAGTGGGCAATTGCATGCGAAATCCGCTTTTTGACTGCTATTTAAAAGCGTTTTGAGGTTTTTTTTAAAAAATTAAACCTGACCCTTGACCATTGCATTCTACCGTCTCCTGTGATTTTCGGCATACTCCCGTCACCTCTCAGCTTCTGGCACCTACCTCAGTACTTCCTCTCACCTCCTTCACTGTGAGCTCCTCTTAGGGTAGTCCTCTCACTGCTCAACTCTTCTTCTCGAAGACGACGACTCTTTGACTCCAATCATCTTCGGTGTTACGTGATGGTTACATGTCTATTTCATGTTTAGGATCTCTTTGAATCATCAAACATGTACTTTTAGATTTTTCTTTAATCTTTTTTTTTTAATATTTATACATATCTAAATTAGATCGTTATTTGACTTTGCGCTTTTTACCGTTATTTTGCCGCAATAGCCCCAAATAGCCTTAGCGATGCCTCACCGCTACGCGACGCTATCCGCTACCGATAACCTTGGTGGTCAGATATCAAACTTAAGTGGTCAATATGTTACATGCTGACACATGCATGCATGTGTCAGAGAGTGTATGCATGTGCATATGTCATGCACATGCAACTGTGTTATTTATTTATTATGGATTGAATTTATCTTGTACTGTAATGCACTTCATTTGATTTTTTTTTCTAATTTTGTGATACAGGATTACAACCCGATTAAGATATTTTGAAAATGATTATGTGCCAGACTTCATGGCTGAAGCTGTCTCATTTTTGCTGAGAAACTCGTCAGCTATGGAACTTAAAAAAGGTATTACAAGTATACTATTTGGTCACTTATTTTTCCACCATTTTGGTGAAATTTGATTGTTTTTCTACACCTAGTCGGCGAAATTTGTTTGCACTGGTTGTATCAATTAATTTATTCTGTCTATAATGCTAAACATGCCAATCTATACATTTAATGCACTTGGTTCCGTAACCTTCTCTGACTACATGCTAATCGTTGTAACAGTATAACTAGAGCAGCAAGCTGAATGGAACCTTTAACTTTTCTGCAGATGCAATGTAATACTAGATTTTGTTGGAAATTAGAGAGTAGATGAGGAGATAATTTTTTTTGCTATTTTATTCATCAACTAAAAGTGCCTTTATATAGGCTTACAAAACAACTTAATAACCATAAAAATCTAAACTAATTTCAGATTTATTAGCCACTACTCCACTAACAAAATAACAACTAAAGACAAAGTCAACTTTGAATCATTCTTCAACACTCCCCCTTGATTCAAAGTTTCTTGTCATTCCTTTTGAATCTTCATAGAGCACTTCTCTCCATAATCTTGTAAAACACTTCTCTTCACTTTGTGATGCACTTCTCATCTCAAACTTGTTGACGCACATAATCACCAACATTTCTTTAAAGGAGCACTTCTCTCCACAAGCACTTGTCTCAATCTCTCCATGGCGCACATCTCACCATGATTCCTAGAATAAAATTTCTTCTTCAACTGCTTGTGCCATGTTTGCTTGTTCTTAACCATTATATCGACAATATTTTTGGATATGACCAAATCTCTTGCATTTGTGACATTGAGGTTTTCCTTTATGCCAACAATTCTTCTCCTCATGACCAAGTTTCTTACAATTGTTGCATTGGACACATTTACCTTTCCCTTTTGAAGATGAAATCTTGGCTAATAAGGCTTCTTCAATTTTTTCATCATTTTCTTCATTCCTCATTGCTCTCCTTTGGTCTACGGCACTGAGGGCATTGACTAAATCCACTAGAGTTATTTTGGATAGGTCTTTGGAATCTTCAAGTGAGGAAATTTTGGATTCATACCTTTCGGGAACAGTCACTAAAATTTTATCAACCACTTTTTCATTTGAAAATGTTTCACCAAGCAATCTAATTTGATTGACAATAGCCATAAGCTTACCGACATACACTTTGATGGTCTCACCTTTCTTCATCTTTTGCATCTCAAATTCCCTTTTGAGATCAAGAACTTGCATCAATTTTGTTTGATCGTTGCCTTCGAATTCTTCCTTTAGCATCTCCCACGCCTCCTTAGGTGATTCACAAGTCATTATACTTGTGAAGATTCCGTCCGACATAGCCGAATGAATACAAGAGAGGGCTTTTGGCTTCTTTGCTTTTTCTTCATCGTGCGTCTTGATTTGTTTTAGGGTTGGATTTTGTGGAAGAGGGGTTGGCTCATAGTCACTCTCAACAACTTCCCATAAACTCAAAGCTTTCAAATGGGATTTCATCTTGATAGCCCAAGATTGATAATTGTCTCCATTGAGGATAGGGTAAGGAAGCGAAAAATTGTTGGATACCATTAAAAAACAAAGATTGATCACTCTATTTTTTTTAAATCCTCACAAACCCAAGAAAACTGGAGCTCTGATACCATGTTGGAAATTAGAGAGTAGATGAGGAGATAATTTTTTTTGCTATTTTATTCATCAACTAAAAGTGCCTTTATATAGGCTTACAAAACAACTTAATAACCATAAAAATCTAAACTAATTTCAGATTTATTAGCCACTACTCCACTAACAAAATAATAACTAAAGACAAAGTCAACTTTGAATCATTCTTCAACAGATTTTGAGTACCACAAAGCACAAATACTCCAAATAGTTTATTATAACTACACCAGTATGATGAATGTGACCATTAACTTACCTTTAACTTTTCTTCAGATGCAATGTGAACTAGATTTTGAACACCACAAAGCACAGATGTTCCAAATAGTTTATTATAACTACACTAGTATGATGAATGTGACCATTAACTTGTCCATTGATAAAGTTTGCCACTAAATTCTTAGTACCACAAGACATAAATGTTATAAACACTTGAACACAAACGGTTATCATGAAGTTATTGTGTCAGATGTCATTCAGTATGGGACATGATAATTGTTCCGTACAGCATACCTTTCCATAGTCCTGCAAGAGCAACACATTCAGCGACTTGTACTTTGTTCTTCATTCTTCTCCCACCAACTTTTTCTCAATCACAGTGCAGATTGTAATTTTGTGGCTTCGTTTATTTGTGGATAACTGATAGCACTTTAATAGCTCACAACTTATCACATTGGACTCGTATATGGCAACTCTAAGAAGCAGGAAACTCAACTAATGGTTGAGTCATCTTGATCATACTTTTTCAAGATTGTATATTATTTTTATGTTGATATATGGGCGCATAATTACTGTAGCACCTCGGAATTGTTTGTTTAGCAAAAAAACAGCTCATTCCATATAATAAGCATTGCTAGTGAACTCACATCTTTTATTTGTAGTCGTAACTCATTAGAAAATGGTATTCTTTTTGGTGCAGGTCTGAGAATGATAGTCCTAGAAGTTGCAGAAAGTCCATCTGCAATTAAGAAGCGTGGGGCAACTGCTTTGCTGTTTTATGTTCTCAAAGGAACTTCTTCAAGACTTCACTCAAGAGCTGAGAAAGTATTTCGGTGGTTGATTGACAAATCTTTCCTCAGCCTCAGTGATGAATCCCTGGAAGGCAAGTTTACTTGCTGAGAACACATATTGGTTATTGTTTCCTTAATTTACTTATGCAGCCATTTTCTTTAGTTCCTTTTATCAATTAACACCACGATACATTATTCTGTTAAATAGGAACTGGTTTTCCACTTCTATTTGCATCTCTAATCAGCAAAAAATAACATGACACAGCAAAGACTTTTATAAGTTTAATCTTGCAGCAGGTGGATGTGGTCATTTAGCTAATATATTATAATTCGTCAGGACAAAGTTCTATAGATGGCTTTCTTGATGCATTTCTTGTGAGCTAATCAATTCATCTAGTCCTATTGATTTGATGATAGTATTGTACTTAGTACGCAATCAATATAATGTCCACATACCTCCAACTATACATGCAGGACAGACCGGAATGTCAACCAATGGGATGACAAAAATATATTAAGCAAGCCTATTCGACGATCATGAATGAGAATCAAGTAGCATGGAAAGGGCAAGGAGGCAAACTAATGGAGAGTGCTCTTCTCTCTTTCATGCACTTTAGATATGATTGGAGAGCAAGAAAAGAAAGGTGATATAGTTATCAGCAAGGGGGAAGAAGTCAAGAAAACACACCAAACTGCATTAACCTAGAATTAGAAAAAGTCATCTGGCAGGTTTTGCACTAAATTAGCGAGAGACCATGATCTAGCATGGTCGCTACAAACTTCCAGCCACTTCAAGTGCTGATTCCATCCCGTTTTATGTCTTTTTTCCATGCCTTTTCCTTTATTTGTTTCGTCAATGTGGTTTTTTGTTGACTTCTCTAGGTTTATCATCTGTGATTATAATGTCAATGCTTTTAAGAAAAGAAATAATATTGTGTTCCCAAGTGCATAATTCTCCGTATCATATTGGAAATTGATGATCTTGGCTTTTGTTAAATTGATGATTTGCTTATCTTTCACAGGTTTGGAAGCTGTTCTTGAGGTTTCCAGTGATGTTATTAAAAGAATATTCAAGGAGCTTGACCCTACAGAGTTTGGTATGGTTTATAAATGCTTATATGAGGAAACATCCAGCTCCATAAATGATGGTTGCTTGATGCATCTTAATCGCTTGCTATCTCTTCTTACTACTACTATTTACCAGTCTAACAATACTCAAATCTATGGTGAGGATTACATCTTTTTTCTTGATACACTCTTATCGTTTCTCAACTGATTGAGCTATATATTCATGAATTTTTTATTTAATTTCTTTTCACTTTATTTTATTTTAACAATTTCCATTTGTTATCAAAGGTCTGATCTTGCACCTTTCAATTATTCGTGCAGATAGTGAAACATTGCTTGAACTTGTCAGATTGCTTATACGGTCATACATTGTGCCTGTTGAGAATATGAAGTCAGAAGAGCATTTTTCTGAAGTCCTTAATGGGATTTTAGAGTTGACGCTATGCCTTCTGGACAATCCTCTCATTTCAGACGATTTGTCAAGCATTTCTCTGGATTATGCACCTGTATTCAGGTTGAAAAATTCAGGGTAAAGTCTATAAAAAACTCTTAAAATATTCTTACTGTTCTTAACTTATTATTAATTATCATTAATATTGTTATCATCATCATCATCATTATAAATACGTGCGGAAGTTGAAAAATCTGTTGCTTTCTAATCATCATAATATTCTTGTTGCTATTGCATGAAATATCACTAACTGATTTATTAGTTATAAGTAGATTTGATCAGTGTAGCTCTCTCCGAGTTTCAGTTGTGTTACATAGCCAATCCAGTGGGAGAACATTTAGATGATGTTGATGTTTTTCATCTAATGACTTGAGTGACATCTTTGGTTTCTGTAGGCTATCATTTGTTAACAGGCTTCTTCTAAAGAATCCATGTGTTGTACATGCCTTCAGACATCACATTATAAGGTATTCCAAATAATTCTTGGTTTTTTTTGGGATGACACTACTATTTAAAAATTGCTGTGCATAAACTGAATGCGCTTGTTGACTTTGTTGCAGCGCAATGGCTAATTTAATTGAAGAATCACCAGAGGTGGTCCTTTTTTCAATTATTAAGTTCATTGAAGGACAGGAAAAGCTGCAACCTTTCAATAGCCTAGCTGGAATACCATCTGAAGAAATGTTAAAATTATGCAATTATTTTAAGGAGATTCTCTTTTTTTGGGTCAAGCTTTTAGGTCGCTGTACAACAGATAACAGTCTGTCTGATGCACCAGTTACTATATCCAATATGGCTGTGCTGTGGGGAGTCCTTAGCTGCTATCCTCATTTTCAGCATTTACATGACAATGTGTCACCAATTATCGATCTAATTGTCGCTCTTGATCAAGTTCTGGAAACTGAGGCTGGTATGACGTCTATATTATTATATGATAAAACAATTAGTATCTTTTCAGAAGTTATATATATTAAAATTAAAATCTTGTTTCAGACAACATTGCAGGCATTCCAAAGTCTACATGGCAGAGTCTTCTTGGTGCTGCATTGATTTCTTATCATAAACTGCTATTGGTTACAAAAACAGGCCTTTCAGAAACAAGCACATTTCTGCGCCTAGCTAAGAGATACAAGTCTTCTTCACAAGTATTATTTGCCGTAGCTGAATTTTTGGATTCATTTATTGGGTATAGCATGTTTCACCGTCATGTTTTTCTGTTTTGTCTGGAATTCCTTGGTTACATTTGCCTAATTCATATATCTATATATTTAACAATGTTACAGTGGTATTTCAAAATCTGAAGCACATGCCTCCCAGAACATTCGTGATCTTGATACCAATGAAGCCGTGATCGCAACTAATATATTTTCAGATAATTTATCTCTTCCAAATAAGGAAATTCGCATGTCAACACTGAGGATTTTATCCCATTATGCTCCTTTAGGTGGACCATCGGCAACAAGTTATGAGCCCCCTCATAAGAAACTAAAAACAGAAGAATCCGGTTCATGCAGTGAACTCTCCCCAAGCAGTAATGTAAGCATTTGTGTTTCCTTATTGTTTATCATTTTTAGTTGAAACAGCTAACTTACGCATCATTTAATATACCAGGTTGTTGACCTTCTTCTTTTGGTTGAGGCAACTCCTCTTTCAATATCTTCAAGTAGAAAAATTGTAAACCTCATTTCCAGGCTGCAGAAGGGACTCTCTTCCGCAAGAGTTAATCACGCGTACTTACCTCTTGTTTTAAATGGACTAATTGGTACATTACATAATAGATTGAGTTACCTATGGCAGCCAGCATCAGAGTGTCTGGCTGTTCTACTAGGAAGATACAAGGATCTTGTTTGGAATAAATTTGTTCAGCATTTGGAAAATTATCAGTTGAGATTTCTATCCTCGAGTGATGAGTTGGTGAAAATAAATTCAGAAAGTCCACAAGAAAAGAGTACGTCTCATTGCTGCTTTGCTATACTTATGCGATTATTGTTCTTATTTTCCTTTTAAATGTTGTTTTAATATGAGCGCTTATAAACATGGTTTGTGACATATAAAATATTATCGCAGATACAAATTTTTTTAATGATTGATACTGATCAAATTTAATAGCTACACTTTATCTCATTTGGTAATTGTTATGCATTTCTTTGTATAATAATAGATATTTATGTCATCTCGTTGATCGTTTAATTTTTACTTTATGGTTTTTCTATGAGAATTTGAAACTACGCCCTTCTTTATAATTCTCTTCGTTGAAATATATTATTTGAAATCCATATGCTTTCTTTTCAAAACATTTAAGATTTTCGTGTTCTGTTTTTAATGTCAGGTTTGATTTGGTAGCTGTTCAACTTCATGAGCAAAAATGGGGTTTCAATATATGTTTTAAATGAACTTAAGTTATCTTATTGGTTCTTTCCCTCACAATTGGATTTTTGCTTTGAAAATATCTGGCTGTTATTTTAGTCATTATTAAATTTTGAAATTTATTGTTCAAAGAATAATTCATCAATTCATGGTCTAATATAGGATGCTGATGGGAAACTAATATCTACAGTTGGTGCATTAATAATCAGCGTATTATATAGCTTTTCCTTACCCAGTCTTGTGCTGATAGTAAAACTCTATTGCAGATCTAGTTGACTGCTTTAAACTGTTCCTGGCTCCTGATTTCGATAACACACCATGTGTGACAGTGATTAATCAATTTCTCAAGTCACTCCAAGAAGTCCATGACCTTGCAGAGTCTAGGTCTCGACAATTAATTCCATTGTTCTTGAAATTTTTGGGTTATGCTGATGATAGTCGTTCGAGGTAAAATACAAATGACGGCGTCAACGTTTTTCTCTTTTGACCTGATTAAACTTTAATATACCTGTTACCTGTTATGATGGGTAATACCTTTTCTCTGGTACTTTGAGCTGATGGTTTGTTGGTTTTGACTTCATAGTGTTGAACCATTTAGCGGCCACAGTTGTTCAGGGAAGCAGTGGAGGTTGGTCCTCAAGGAATGGTTGAACTTATTGAAATCAATGCGTGATGTTCGATCTTTATACCAAAGCCAATTTCTTAAGGAAGTTTTGTCAAACAGGTATTGCTAAATACTCTTACATTGAGTCGTACAATGTTTATCACTGAACTTTTCTTGTAGATATTTTTGGTTTCCTAGCAGCTCTTATACTGTCTATGCTGAGGGCCATCTATTCAATTTGCTTAATTTACTCATGGCTTGGTCTCTAACAGGCTTCTAGGTGAAATTGATTCTGATATACAATTGAAGGTTTTGGATTGTTTGCTGAACTGGAAGGATGAATTTCTAACCCCATATGGTCAGCATCTTAAAAACCTGATTATTTCAAAAAACCTTCGTGAGGAACTTGCTATATGGTCTGCTTCAAAAGATTCTCAATGTATTCAAGAGTGCCACAGGGGTCCCATGATTCCTATACTTATCCGATTGCTAACACCGAAAGTCAGGAACTTAAAAACACTTGGGTCGCGTAAGGTTAGGTTTCTTTGCCATATGTATTGTATGTGGATTCACTGAAATTTGATTCATTTTTGAACATGTTTTCATCAATATTGATCATTTCTCTTGTTCATATGACGCAACCTTTCAGCATACAGGTGTTAGTCATCGAAGGGCAGTTCTTTGTTTCTTAGCACAACTCGATGTTGACGAGCTTCATTTATTTTTTGCTTTACTATTAAATCCCTTGCTCCGGTGTCCTCTGGCAAGTGATGTGACCAACACTCAGTTTGCTATTCCTTTTGAGAAAGATATAGAACCTCGTTCCTCAGTTCTGGTGAAATGTTCAGACACAGTGGCCCTAGGTAATTTTTCATGGAAGAAGAGTTATGGATTCTTGCATGTTGTTGAAGATATATTGAGAACTTTTGATGAATTTCACATAAGGCCGTTTCTTAACCTGTTGATGAGGGTTGTTGCTCAGATACTTGAAAGTTGCATGTTGAGCCTCACTAGTGACTCAAAAGTCCATGGTACAGATATTCCGCTGCTGTCAGCCAACATGGTATAGACTCTGATCTACTTCCCTAAATTTCTTGCATGCAAACACATGTCAATATAACATTCAACTTGTCACATGGGTATAATGCTAAATGACTATTATGGAGGGTATTGTTCACTCACCTATATGTGTTGACATTCTATCTATGGTACCCAGGTACTTCTACCATGAAGTCGTATCTGTACCGATAATTGTGCAAGTACCTAGTCCCCACCCCTCCTGCGAACTGTACAGTTCATGCAAACTGATTCCTGGTACATTTGTGAACCGATTCCCTCCGATACACAAACTGATTCCCTAAAATTAGCGTCCTGCTTACAAGTATGCAGGGGCATGAAGTCCCTTTAAAGTGCACATGTGCAAGACTCAATGCAATGTGTACAATCAAGTCAATGGAGGGACACCATAGAATGTATGATTCAATAACTTTACGATCACTAAATACATATGTTAATAAAATGTGAAACAAAACCACGATCCCAGCGCGAATTGTGTGAAAAAAATATCAGAACAAAAAAAGAAAAAAAAAAGAAAACCACCTCCATTAAGAAGCATTTAAACAATTTGTATGTGAAATTTTTTGAAAAATATAATTAGCTTTCTAGTTCCTAGTTTTCTACTATACACTTTGGAAAATGGTAAGCGCACCAAAAAAAGATTTACAACGTACGCTTGACCAAACTTGCGTACCGAAGCAAGCTACCCTACATTAGATTCAAATTTTCTTCGTGGCAAATTGTGTAGCCGAATGCGTATCATGACCCACTACATACTGCATATTGTGCCTGACACATACCCGACGTGTTCACGTACCTAGAACTTCATGGACACTCTTTGGATATATGCATACATTTGTTCAGACGTACTCAATTTATGATATATGTTTTAATGTTTAAACATTCGTCATACATTTTTTGGATGCATATCCTACAGCCACACATTCATCTCTTGAAACTCGTTAGACGTGGATCGAGTTTGTTTCAGCATGTACCAAAGTTTAAAACTATGATTTTAAAGGGTTGTTTGGGTGTCTAGTTCAAAACGAGTAGTTGACTAGTTCCCAATTTATAACAATCAATTTTCCAAAAGAAACTTAGAAATGTGATAAGAAATTTAGTTCCATAATTCCATTAACGCATGAATTGAAAGACACGCATGAATTGAAAGACATTAATGATCTCATGTGAATTATTAATTTCAATATATATATACGTTGTCATGTCCCCTACCCTAACTTTACAATTTTACTGTGGTCCGTGTCCCATATCTGTATCTATACCCGTACCCATTTTCATGCAACGTAGCATTGTATATTAGCATTCTATATCAGATTGCAGAAATTGAGATATGTTGGTGGATATGTTGTAAATTTCGGGTTGCCATATCGGATGGTGAATATATGTATAATATAATGTCTGTAATGCAATCAAAGCATACTATATACTAAAAAAATTCTACATTCTAAACATACAAAAAAGTAAATAACATATGTTGTTTTGAGTCATTAACCGATTGTAGAAACTTGGTTCTCGATCACATAAAAACAAATCATCATGAATTATTTAACAAATCAACATACATGAAAATTGTGAACTGGCTATAAATTTATTTGTTCCAACTGAAGATCAATTTAACCATATCTAATCTAACTAAAGAATTTTAATTTACAGTATCAATTTAATCGCACAAAACAAATCAAAATATCAACTCAAATATCTAACATAGTCCTACTCAAATATCTAACTAATATCTAAGATTGATCTAAAGTTGAAAAGAAAAACATCTTGGAGGGAGAAAGAGGGAACGACTGAGAAGGAGAGGGAGCTATTGAGAGGGAGAGAGGGGCAGACTGAGAGGGAGAGGGACTGAGAGGAAGGAGGGGGATGAGATGAGAACCTTCTGTGAAGCCCTTCGTCGAATAATGGAAACCCTAGAGCTTACCGTAGTGGGAGTCAAAGAGAGTCCTCAAAGCTAGTAGGCGTCGAAGAGGAGATGGAGGCATGAAGTTGGGGGAAAAAAATCTAATCGGGTTCTAAACAATTGAAGAAGAGTTGAAAGGGTTGTTTTTTTAATGTTTTGGCTATAGGATGATTAGGATTGAGTCAGGTTTGTATTCACTTTAAAACATCCAATTAAGCAAAAGAACAAATAAATTGAAATTGCACCTGATATAGCCGATATAATCCGCCATGTTCCTGACATCAGTCTCAAAATGCTCTAAGCTATTGAAAGTGCTATATCTTGGCGGTTTGGGTTCCAATCCGCCATGCCGACATGGTGGCCGACATTTAAAGCCTGACCCAACACTTCCCATACTCGAACCTCATGGACTATATGCATATATTTATTCAGACATATACTCAATTGTATCATACATGTTTAAATTTAAAACACTTAATTATATAATAAATATTCAAAGAAGCATAAAAATATTATAGAATTTTAATTCTTGTAACATGTGAATAAAAAAACAATTATCGTCTCATGAAAGCATTTAATTTCTAATGTATATGTAGTTGTGTCCCCGTATACTTTTTCCGAATTTGTGTATCCTACATCCATATCCGCAACGTACGCGTACCCATATCTGTACCTGTACCCATGCAACTTAGCACTCGGCTCATGTTTATTTCCTCTCAGCCTCTGTCCTTTATCTTAATCAAGGTTTTAAATATCGGATATCGGGGAAATATCGGATGGCCAAAATTCAAATCGGATTGCGGATATCGGGGAAATATCGGGGATATGTGGTAAATATCGGAATGTCATAATGAATGTTTGCATACATAGTATAATGCATTAAAATGTAATCTCAACATATGTATGTTGAATGAAATTTAAACATACAAAATATGAATAATATATATTTAGGATCACTAATCAACCTTCTAAAACAAACAAAAGTGCAAAGCAACGTTGCAACATTCGATCTGCATTTTTTAGGGTAAAATGTCATTTGATATAATGGGAAAATCTTGATATCTCGCCCAAAAATTCCAAACACGGTATATTATTTTGCAACAAACTATATAAAAAGATATATTGGTCCACATATCGGCTAATATATCGGCCATATCGGGGATTTATCACTCAAAATAGCCAAAAAACGGTAAAAGATATTTAAAGACCATATCGATTGCGGCAAGCCCTGTAAAAGGATATATCGGGGGATATATCGGGCCATGTCGGGGATATTTAAAACAATGATCTTAATTCATGTATAAGCACATAGAGACACATGAGTAATTTGCAATGACATAGACATGTGCATATGTTTCATGTTTATTGCATGTGCACGCATGCACAAATGCAAAATATTAATTAGAAGTATGAAATATATGTAAATCATGAAATATATGTTTGTTTATGCAGATAATATAAAATAGAACTACAAAATGAGGCATATAGAGAAGTGACAATTGAGTATTGAGCCATATGTATGTACGTAGAAACAAAACATTTGTTAAGGTGTCTCTCGCATTCATTCAATTAAAAGTGGATTTGGTTTCTAAAAAGCAATGTTTAAAAAATCGGAAGCGCAAGCGAAGCATTGGATCCTTTTATGAAGCTAGGCGTAAGGCTCAAATGTGAGGCGTAAGCCTCACGAATTAAAGTATATTTTAATTTATAAATTTTACCAACATATAATATATTGTGATTAAAGTTTTACAATAGATACATTCAGGTCTTGATTTGTAAATAAGAATTGATTATGCTAATATAGATGCAAATTGTACTAAACTAAACTACACCTATCATATACATGTCTTATTTTTAGCCATATGGTCACATTGAAGACACATGAGCTAAAATTAAATTGAAATTTTTATACACAATATATTACTTGGTGATTGCATGATCTGGATTCAATAATTCTTCTGAATGTAAGTTGAGAAGATAAAAGGCAATTTCTATATATTCTTTTCTGCATCCGCTCTTACTTGAAAAGTGAGAATTGAACTTGAATCATCGAGCTAAAAGCAGGCTTGTCCTTTTTAACTGTCCAGCTGCAGAGTCCAGCAGATCAAGCTTCTGATGAATTCTGTTTTAGTCTTGAGGCACATTCTGACTGCAGCATCATATGTTCAATCATTCATGATCTATTGTGGAGTTGTAGCAAATATCTTTATAAGTAGTTAACATTGTCTTGCAGGTGAGTACATCTAATAAGCAGTACAAGGAGTTGCGATCTTTATGCCTGAAGATCATCTCTTTTGCTCTCAATAAGTATGATAGTCATGACTTCGGTTCCGACTTTTGGGACACATTTTTCAATTCAGTGAAACCTCTAACTGACTGCTTCAAGCAGGAGGCTGCCAGTAGTGAAAAAGCAAGCTCTCTTTTTTCATGTTTTCTTGCTATGAGTAGAAGCCGAACATTAGTCTCACTTTTAGATCGGGAAGCAAAGTTGATTCCTAAGATTTTTTCAATCCTCACTGTGAGGACTGCCTCTGATGATATCATATCTTCTGTGCTTAATTTTGTTGAAAATTTGTTAATCTTGGATAATGAGTCTAATGATCAAGAGGAAAACCCTGTAAAAGGAGTCTTGTTACCTCACCTTGCAGTGCTAATTGACTGTTTTCATGGGCTTCTTCAATCCCATAAAGAGATCAGCAGGTAACTGCTTCTTCACGTTTTGTTTATTTTTGTTCACATTCTCTTTTATGCCTTATCGAATTGCAAGATATACTTTTGGGAAATTGTAGGCTTTTGCTTTTTATTTGATCATTTATTACTTATATCTTCCTTGCTTATTTTCAAGTTGTTGATATGGTTCTGTTAATTCATGGGCTCATATTTGTTATGTTTCTCTGTTCACTTGATTTAAAATATTATCAACTTATGGGCTTACCTTCGACACGTAGCTGGGAAAAAAATATTTTGGAATACTGTTAATCACCCAAACTGTTTGTTTCTCTTTTGGGACTATTTTCACAAGTGCTTGGTCTCTCGCATGGACTAGAACTTGACTAGCAGCTAGTTTTGTAATCTCCTGCAAAACTTAATCTGCACAAAGTAGGCACTATCTCAATGTTAGATGGTTTAAAGATGCTTGGTAATATTGATCTGAAATTGAAATATTTACTGATGTAAAGTAGAACTCTCACTCTCAAATTTGTCTATTCTGGAAGCTTGTAGCATTTGTATGTCCATGTGTTCATAATTAGATTTTATGTGTCTCAAATTTGTCTATTCTGGAAGCTTGTAGCATTTGTATGTCCATGTGTTCATAATTAGATTTTATGTGTGCGTATAGATTGATTACATGGTGCTATAATCTGATCATGCATTCTTCTTCTGCCCAACCAGACAAAACACATCCATTTGATATATGATCAGTGTTTACAAAGTCGGTTGATTTTATCGTTTTATTGTCGATATATTGGGTTTGGGGCATGCCTAATATGATTTCTACGAAAACTTATTGAATATCATTTTGGCTAAATTTTCATGATATATCGGTACAAATCTGATAAAGTGGCTAATTTCTCATAGGCTAAAAATTGCTCGATTTTCTAAAATTTATATTCTAAGTGAACTAGTTCAGGTTTGGAGACAATAACCCTCTTTTTTCCATTCCCGACCTGCATCCACTAAACAAAAACGGTGTCATACTATTCTGTTTCACATCCAGTGATCGTGTAACGCTAATTCATTCTCTCCCCCGAATTACTCACAAGTTACTCACTTGAAGGCCTCCGTCAACTAATTCACTATGACTGCTTCTATACTTAATCGACGATTATTCTTTGTGAGGCTGTGATTGTTTATTCTTTGTCACTTTTAGGGCTGAGCAGAGTCCGGTTTAAACTGATTAACTGACCGAACCATCCGATTTGGAACAGTTTGGTGTGGTTTTGAAATATACATGGTTCAGGTTGGGTTTACACAAGTTCAGTCCGTATTAACCGACCCGACCGAACACTCTTCAACCACAGAACACAGCTGTATATACAAACAGTTGACATTCCTGTTTCTCTTGCAATTACTGCGGGACCCACCCACATGATCAATTTCACCTCCCAAGTCCCAGTTCAGAGCTAGCTGTCTCGCAATTATCGCATAAAAAATAGAGAGAGAAAGGTACGTGTTCCCCAGATATCGAAACCAATTCACGCCCTCTCTCTCTCTCTCCCCTCTCGTTTAATTAAAAATCCAACTCATTAACTTCGATGTCCATTTCTTCTCCCATCTTCCACTTTAACTCCCCTTAAGTCCTTATGTTTCGCTTGTTTTATTGTGGTTCGGTTCAGTTCAGTGCTTATTTGCGGTTCGGTTCTATAAAAAAAGGCCAAACCCGACGAACCGACCGTTTCTTTACCCCTAGTCACTTTGTGACTGATTCTTTGTGGCTAATTATTCTTTGAACAAAAATTATTCTATTCTTTTATTTGATTTTGAAGAGAGATTATTCTTTGTGACTGATTCTTCTTTTTCACTCTCAAACATGTGTTATTTACATTCTAGTATGTTTATATTTCATTAAATGTACTTAGATTACATTTCAGGACATTATATTATATGTGCTCTCTATCCGATATGACAATCCAATTTTTACTATTTATATGCGATATATCCCCAATAAGCGGGATTCTATATAAATTTTGGTCGTCTGATATATTTCAGATAACCGGAATCCAATATGACCTTTATGTAGCATACTAACATGAACCTCTTCTCCGTTCCAACATCAATTAACTTGGCATATAATTATCCTACCACTGAGGTAGGGCATTTTAGAAGGTGAATGCTACACCGTGGTTTTGATAATAAGAACAACCTGTTCTCCTATCAGCATTTAGCTTCATGGTTATTTCTCTAGGACATCAAATGAGAGGCTGCTAATCATAAATTCCTTCCTTTAAAGCATTTTTCAATATTTAATCTGCATTGGAGATTTGGGACTTGCAAGATCAGTATATTTTTTGCAGCTAGTTGTTCCAATGCATTCAATTAATGTGACACTAGTTTTAGGATGATGTTTTCCTTTCCCGTAACTTATATGCCTAACATTATTTAACTAGTTTTAGGAGTCAATCTGTGAAGGATACATACGCAGTATTTGATGGATGCTGGTCGTCCTCTTTTTTTTAATACATATATAAAGATAAGAACATACCCACGCTTATCAAGGATTAAGTAGAATGCGTGCGGGTAAGATGTTAAAAATCTAAATGGCAATGGATTGGAGATTCCATTTTTGATTATCTGACGCATCAAACCACTTTCTTGAAGAAGTGACCGTCTGGTTAACTATTGATTGATATAACTAGGCCATAGTTTATAATATTCAATATCTTGTGTCCACACATCACAGCTACCCTTGTACAGTTCTGTTATTATCCTCATTTTTTATTTTTCACGAGCTTAGTTTATGTTCATAGTTTTGAAGAGAGTGATGAACTTGCTTAATGACAGTGAAATGTCATGGTAAACAACTGTTGCTCTACTGGTTTTGGAAACAATCCCTTATGAGCATATCTAATGAAATTTAACACTTTGTGATGCTGCCAAGCCTGCCATATGCCTTTTCTTCAAAACAGAAAGACACTGGAAAGTTCCAATATTGTGATGTATCCTAAGCTTGTAGCCATGAAACATACACATGGAACTACATTATTGTTATTCCTGTAATATTTGGAAGGTTATAATTTCAGTTAAGAGTTCATTTTACAGTTTGCATGCCAAGACATAAGTGCATTTCCTATTTTCTCATTCGTATTTTTTCTCTTAATAATATGTGAGTTCAGTAGAATCTATTTTTCTATTTTCTTTCTCAAGTTAAAATCCAAATTCAGAATGATAATATGTGAGTTCAGTAGAATCTATTTTTCTATTTTCTTTCTCAAGTTAAAATCCAAATTCAGAATGAGCAGCAAAGCTTAGTTTCAAGATTCATTTTCTTACTTTGTGTATCAGTGTAATGTTACTTTATGAATAATATGGGTACTGGTCTTGCTAATTGCATTTCTTTATTATGATCTATAGGAAATCTCCCATGTCGTCTGGAAAGACAGAGCTGAGAATATTTAAACTGTTAGTGAAGTATGTAAATGATCCTGTGGTAGCAGAGAAATTTGTGGACATACTACTCCCAATTTTCAAAAAGAAAGCTTTAAATTCTGGTGAGTGATACTCAAATTTATGTTGTTTGCTGTCTTGAACATCTTAAATTGTTATTTAGTTCTCTGATGACTGGTCTGCTCAATATAACTTAGTTTCACTTCTTTTATGACGTAAAAGAGAGAGAATCTTATATAGTTGCT